AAAAGACTGGGAGCCGCAAAACCATTGCAACATTTAAAACAAATCCGACACTGCATATATTGCAAAAAGCGCTCTGGTCATGAAGGGGGTTTAAGGGCCCAGTAAGCAAAGGGTTAATCAGGGCCACAGTGTATCGTCATAATCACAATCATAGCCTTAGGTCAGCGGTGGGCAACCTTTTTTTTCAACTGAGCCAAATCTCGCCAAAACCACGATTGAAATTTATTTTGAGAGACACATTTTTAAAACTGAAAATACATCCCCCATATAGTAATTCATCCCCATATAGTAATTCATCCCCCATAGTAATTCATCCCCCATATAGTAATTCATCCCCCATATAGTAATTCATCCCCCATATAGTAATTCATCCCCCATATAGTAATTCATCCCCCCATATAGTAATTCATCCCCCATATAGTAATTCATCCTCCATATTGTAATTCATCCCCCATATTAATTCATCCCCCATATTAAGTCCCCAAGTCCCTCCTGTGTCAATTCACTTACCTTTGCTCTGCGCGTTCCTCTTGCCGTGTTCCCGCGCCGTTCCGGTGTAGCATGAAAATCTGTCTCCTATGAGGATCTGTCCCCCTCGACGTATCTGGGCATGTGCCAGTTAGCAGCCGATCGGCGATCTCCAGCACATGCGCAGATACGTCGAGGGGGACAGATCCTCATAGGAGACAGATTTTCATGCTACACCGGTCTTCAGGGCGGACTGTGAGAGGAGCCTAGTGGGAGCCTAGCTCCGCGGGCCGGACTAAAAGGTCCGCCGGGCCGTAGTTTGCCCATTGCTGCCCTATTGCCTGTCACCTAGTGGGCAGTGTGCTCCGGAGCCGCAGCCAAGGTGAAAAAGAGCCGCATGCGGCTCTGGAGCCACGGGTTGCCGACACCCGGTCTAGGGGATATTTGGTTGAGCACTGTTGAAGTCTTGGCTGAAGCAGATAGCAAACTTCCATTGAAGTTGTAGCAGCCAATAGATTAGGAGAGAGCAAAGTCCCTTTTTGCAGTAGTAGTAGTTACAGGGCTGAGCACCTCAGGTACAAGCCCGTTACGACAGACTGCGACAGCCCAAAGCTAAGGTAGCTGAGAAAAGTCCTTTGTAGTAGCAACAATTGGACAAACGCTTCAGAACACTAGCCAGTGTTCCCTTTCCTTTTCAGACCCAAGCTGACTTTCAATCATCAGAGGGGTAACCAGCACAGAGTCAGCAAATTCCTCAATGTTTGTACTACAAGGCCCAAGGACAGAATGGTTGCCTCTTTCCAAGCAAAACCCTCCAGTGATAGCTCCCCTCAGTCAGCTTACTGTAGAACCAGGGTCACTTTAACTTCAGGCCCTCAGTTTGGCACAACTGAGGCCGCATGAAAGCCAGTGCCAGGCGAGGCAAGCCTGTCTCCAGCCTGGCTTGGTTCAATCCTCTCCCAGGAAAAACACGGAGCCCATGTGCTCACAGAAAATAAATACAACTCCCAGCATGCAAAGAGACTGCCCTCCTCTGCAATTAGCCAGGACTGTATCCATATTCATGCTGCTCATTTGCTTAGTTCCCTCCCAGGTTCTAGAAGGCTCTCATAGCTTCCTGAAGGGGGCAGAACTCAAGGCAAACTCAGCAGCACCAGAGCATCATGAGCAGACCTGATTAATCCATCCCAGCAAAGTTAAGCAGAGAGCTCAACTTAATTTTCCTAACAGTCTCTCTGTTAAGCAGAGAAACACAACTAAACAAATCCTAGAACCAATCTAGGAGGGTGCTACATGTATATTTTACAGTTCTTTCTCCTATGGGACAAAGTACTACAAGTACCAAGTGCTCTCTAACTGAAGATATTAGATCCAACCTGAGCCCCCCCCCCTGCTGCAGCCAATCTGACAACAGCTAGGAAGGAGATGGTTTATTCACAGCTGCATCCTGTCTCTGCTGTGAACACATATTCCTGAGACAAGCACTGACAGATGGATCATACAGCCTCTCAGTGCTGTGTAATCTTTAGGCTCCATGTACACGGGACACTTCCGAACGATGGAAACTGACTGCTAGAAAACAGAGGTTAAAAAAGTCTGTTTAGCTGCGTTTGCATACCGCGTTTATGAGCGTTTTTTTTAAAGATAACCTCAGGAGACCTTCCAAAATGCCAACAATGCACTGAAAAACAGTAAAAAAAATAACTATTTCAGACATTTGAGAGAAATAGAGAGAGCAGAATTTGTTGAAATTAGCTGTCCTTTTTTTTTGTGGTGTATGGATGTGTTCCAGCTCATTTCTGTGTATAAATTATTGCAGCAGTATCTAACATATTTTCTTTCATGGAAAACCTCCAAGTACGGTGTGCTAGGTCCATTTGAGTATCGGGAAAACGCTTTGCATGCATTTTTCATGATGAAAAAAGGCTCTGGACAGCATCTGGAAATGGAAGAGCTAAAAACATTTTCCAAACGCTTGTAAACGTGGCTAACCACGTTTATATGCATTTGGCGTTTCAAATGCTGATAAAATCTACTCCTGAACACAAGTTTGGTGCCTTCAAAAAAATTACTGTAAACTCAACTGCCTGTAAACGACATAGTGTACATGGACACATAGGAAAACATTAGGGAGAGTTCAGGGGCTGCTGGAAAAAAAAACGCAGAAAAGCTGCAGTATACATGGAGCCTTCCTTTTTTTGAAAAGGCCGATCTGCACAGCCGGGGCCTGTGCAGTGTATGACATAGCCCTGCAGCACTGATGGTTCATTCATGAAAGATCACTCAGGGCTGTGTGATCCATCGGCCTGGCTGTGTATGCATACAAGCAGCTGCAGATAGACACACAGTGCCGCAGACTGTGTAATCTTTGTAAATGGCAATCCTGGTCTACAGAGCAGCCTCTGCTGCCAAAAACTAGCACTGTCAATTCATCCTAGCAGCACAATCAGACAGGGGGGGTGGACTATGTGACCATGCTGCTACACACACTTGATCCCCAAAGGGTTGAATAAAAGTTAGTGTAACAAGATGCATTCTTTAACCACTACCTGTCTGACCCATGTATATAAACGGCCAGACAGGAGCAGTGCAGGGGCGGGTGGCCGTTTATATACGTCCTCCCTCTTCCCTGCTTGTGCACGCTCCCTAGGAGTGAGCAGCACCACAATCCAGTGCTCGCTGTGTCCTCCGGCAGAACACTGATCTTGTATGGGACCTCTGTGTGAGGTCCCCGATCATGTGATCACTGACTGGCCAATCAGTGATCACATGAAGAGTAGTAAGCAAGATGTCACTTCTGACATCATTGCTTACTACGTGTGAAATCTGTGAATTATCACAGGAGGTCACATGATACAAGGCTATTCACAACAGCCTTGTACCATGTGACAAGCTGTGACCAATCACAGCTTGCACAGTATTTCTCAATGGCTGCAAGGAAAAATAAAATTAAAAAATATCTTCATCACCCCCCCCACAAGTAGTACAGGGTCGCTATTATGACCCTGTACTGCTAGGGTGACAGTATGTAAAAAAAAACCCATAAATAATAATATAGAAAAAATAAAATATAAATGTAAAACATTTTTTTTAAATTATAATTTTTGGTTGTAAACTAATTTGGTTTCTTTTTTTTTTTTTACTAAAAAGATAGATGAATACATTTTGGCCAAGATTTATGAAGAAAAATTATTTGCAACATTTTATAAGAAAAACACTTTTAAAAATTTTTGGACTTTATCATTTATATAGCAAAAAAAATAAAAATCCCAGTAGTGAATAAATACCACCAAAATAAAGTTTTATCTGTCTCAAAAAGATGCTAAAAAATTTGTATGGCTACAGTGTTGCATGACTGCGCAATTGTCATTCAAAGTGTGATAGCACTGAAAGCTGAAAATTGGCCTGGACTGGAAGGGGGTAAAAGTGTTCGGACTTGAAGTGGTTAAAATGTAACAATGGCAAATTAATAAAATGACAGTCAGTATCATTGAGAGCTGATTCACACATGTGTGGTGTGGATTGAAGCTCAGGTTTCACAGCTAATTAACACAGTAGTTGTTCACCGGTTCATGTCAGGTTTACATCAGGTTCAGGACAGGATCAGCTCTCGGGATCTTATCCTATATTTGGTTTAGAAATGGTTCCCATTGAAGTCAATAGCCTGTAATCCGCACCTGAACCAGACTGCACTGCTCAGAAATTGTACAGGATTTTTTCAAACTGCAGTGAATCCGACTGCCAGTGCACCAGATATAGGTGAACAGGCACCATAGGAAGCAATGTTTTTTCACATGTCCTGTGGTCTGGATTTGGTTCAATCTGCATACATGTGAACTGTCAGATTTTATTCCCCCCTGCATGTTTATCTTTCCAGTATCCTTTTTGAGTTTATTCACACTATTCAGAGAAAGCATTCTCTACCAGGGATTACCTGGGAACTAGTGCTTTGGCTCAAATGCCTTTACAATGTAGCAAAAATCCTCTGATACAATGAAACCAGCTACTCGGTAACATCCATTGGAACGATTCTTTATTGGCAACATAACATGTTACTGCCGTGTCCTACTAACACGTTTTGGCTGAAACCTTACTCATAGCATTGAGTAATTGCTATGAATAAGGCTTCAGCCCAAAACATGTTAGCATGTTATTGCTGTATCCTGCTATGTAGCTAAAAAAGAATTGTTCCAATGGATATTACAGAGTAGCCGATTCATAGAGGATTATTGCTTATTCAAACTATACCTCACTGTGCTGCGGCACACACGGTTTTACAAATATATCAATGGGGAAGGGGACTCCGAAAAATCAAAAACTGCTGTATTAACCACTTGCCTACAGGGCACTTATACCCCCTTCCTGCCCAGGCCAATTTCCAGCTTTCAGCGCTGTTGCACTTTGAATGACAATTGCGCGGTCATGCAACACAGTACTCATATGAAATTTTTATAATTCTTTTGTGACAGATAGAGCTTTATTTTGGTGGTATTTAATCACCTCTGGGTTTAAATTTTTTTCTTAAACAAACCAAAAAAACATTTTTTCTTAGTTTATGCTATAAAATTTTGTAAATAAGTGAATTTTCTCCTTCACTGATATGCACTAATGAGGCTGCACTGATGGGCACTGATAGGCTGCACTGATGGGCACTGATGAGGAGGCACTGGTGGGTGGCACTGATGTGCATCGACAGGCATCACTGATGGGCACTGAAAGGTAGCACTGATACATGACACTGATATATGGCACTGATAGGCAGCACAGAAAGGCGGCACTGACTGGCACTGAGAGGCGGCACTGAAAGGCAGCTCAGATGGGCACTGATATGTGGCATTGATGTGCACTGGTAGGCACTGATATGTGGCACTGATGGGCACTAGCACGAGGCACTGATGGACACTGAGTGGCACTGCTGGGGCTACACTGATCATCAGTGTACATGTCTCCTCCGCGAAAAGCCGATTACCGGCTCTCCTCTCCTCTCGAGCTGTCACGATAATCGGCATTTCCCTGTTTACATGTGATCAGCTGTGATTGGACACAGCTGATCACATGACCGAGCAGACATCTTCGGCTCTTTCCGTGATCGGTGATCCACTGTGTCCCAGGGACACAGCGCACCACCGATCGCCGCACTGCACGCTGAGAATGGGACGACGTCATATGATGTCCTCCCAGAACGAGAGAACCACCTTGCGCCCGTCATATTACTATATGGCGGGCGGGAGGTGGTTAAAGAATATGTTACCCCAGCATTTCATATTCTTGATATGTGTCTGCTGTACCATGTACTTGTGTTAAAAAGTATCCTGTTCTTTTTGTATTGCTTTCCTTGTGTTAAATTCCTGGTGTTCTTGCCAGTTCTCCTGGTCTTCAGTTTTCTGGCTTTGATAGGAGAAGAGCCTGCCTATTTGCCTATCCTCCAATGGTCAGACTTATGTTGGCATTCCCCCCCCCCACACACACACTGTAAAGATCAGTGTACTGCTGTTTCTCCTCCTCTAGCTCTTATGCAGTTGAGAACAGAGATTATGTAAGCTCCAAGGAGCAGGGCCCTCCTATCCCTCTTGTATTGAACTGTATTGTTGCTGTATTGTCTCCCTTTATATTGTAAAGCGCTGAGCAAACTGTTGGCGCTACATAAATCCTGTGTAATAATAATGTGACCAAAAGGATATATATATATATATATATATATATATATATATATATATATACATATACATACACACACACACACACACACACACACACACAGTATATATATACACACACAGTATATACACACACATGAGAAACTTATATGTATATATTTTTAGGTACCTTGAGGCTTCTTTTTGGTATTTATACATTTACATGCACATTTTGCCTTTAATTTCTATTTATAAACTGAACGGGTTTTTCAAGATGAGGATTCACATATACCTTAAACTTTTTGTTTAGGTTTTGGACAGGGTAAAAATGCCAGACTTTGAGTACCAGTTCACACCACAAAAACATACTCCAGTTGCATTTTTGATACAGTTCACACACACACGCCATATCGGTGCAGTTTTGATGCAGTTTGCCATGTTAAAGTACAGTTCTGTGCAGAAAAAAAAATGCAGCATGTTCTACTTTTTTTTTCTGCACCGGAAACTGACTGCACTGCATTTTTTTAGCCTTAGGGGTAGTTCACACTAGATGCAGTCCAGTGCATTTTTTTTTCTGCATCAAAAATGCATGCACAGTGTTTTCCATGTATTCCAATGGCCCTAGTTCACACTAGTGAAAATAAAGTAGAACATGCTGCATTTTTTCTGCACAGAACTGTACTGGAACACAGCAAACTGCATCAAAACTGCACTGGAACGGAGTGTGGCATGAACTGTATCCGGAAACCGTCCAGAGTGCGTTTTTGTGGGGTGAACTGGCCCTTAGCCCATCTGGCAGGGGCCAAACTTCATATATAGCTTCATATAGGGCCCGCTGATCCCTTCTGTATTAAAATGTACTGTAGCTGTACTGTCTGCCCTCATGTTATATAGTTCTGTGCAAACTGTTAGCATCATATAAATCCTGTAAAATATTAATAATAATATAATACAGTATTTGACAGCAGTCGGGGGTAAGGAAAAGAAAGAGAAATTGTGTGGGCTTCCTGTAATTCATACCAGACCCACAAGGTCGGAATTTTAATGGGAGCCACACACAAAAGACCCTTTGATATAGAATTTGGAAGGGGTTCAAAGCGGTTTTTAATGCCCGAATTAAAATAAAACAGTTTACATACAAACTAATTAGGGTTAAAGAATAATAGAGATAAAATGGTCATACACTTAGAAATTTGGTTGGTTCCTGACACAACTTGCTCAGTGGGGGATCCTGCCAGCCTCGCCCCATTAGACTTATCAGAAGCCTGCTGGAAATTTTTCAGACAACCAGTGGCTGCATCCAATCATATGCAGCGAGCTCTTTGGGTATTCTGACAACTGCTGCTGTCAGAATACAAAAGACCATCAGGTGGATGGAGGAATCTGTTAGATTTCCTTTGTTCACAGGCTGACCCAAAGAAATTTGGCTATATATGTGCAGTTTAAAGGCTGCCATACATTGAGCTTTGGCTGATTCCTGCTGGCCCTGTCAGTACCACCTAGCTCAACAAAAGAGGATTTTTCAATTGTCGAGCAAACAGCATCTAGAATAGAGGGCATGAGAGATTCTTCCATCTACACTCTCTGAGAAATCCGTATGTGTATAGGTGTACATTTATCAAGCAGTGGTACATGACCGCTGCTATGTTCTCTGGCATTCTCACAGGAGACAAATCTCCTCTGAGTGCCTGTTTATGAAGAGGTGTAGATCGCTTCTCTTGATGAGGAAAGAAGCAATCTACAAATGCTTTGAACTGCGGAAAATGTATTTAATATAGGTACTTATATAGCGCTGTCAATTAACTCAGCGCTTTACATATATATATTGTACATTCACATCAGTCCCTAACCCTCAAGGGGCGTCCAATCTAAGGTCCCTAACTTACATTCATACATACACATACTAGGGACAATTTAGACAAGAGCCAATTCACCTACCAGCATGTCTTTGGACTGTGGAAGGAACTCGGAGTACCCAGAGAAAACCCACACAGGCACAGTGAGAACATGCAAACTCCAGACAGGTGGTGCTGTGGTTGGGATTTGAACCAACAACCCTAGTACTGCCAGGCGGAAGTGCTAACCATTTAGCCACTGTGCTGTCCATATAGCGAGATTACAGTAACAACAGATCAGTAAAACACAGCTGCTGTCAGTTTACTAAGCAGTGATATATATATACACACACACACACACACATACATATATATATATATATATATATATATATATTTATACACACACAACTGCTGCTGGGGTTTTATAAAATGCATGGTGGCTTTCCCACGGTCTTGGAGGCTCTGAAGGAAGAAGAAGAAAGTCCAAAAACTTCCTCCTCAGAACTCCAGCGATTCTCTCTTCTCTCCCCGATTCTCCACCTCTGGGCTGGAGAATCTAGGAGGGAGAATTTTCACAGAGATCATCAGTTAAGGGCTGACATCGCTCCTTCATAAACTGGCCATATCTGTGTCTTTGCTGATCTCTGTTTCATAAACCACTAATGTATTGAAATCAGCAGGAATCCTCAGGATCGCTGCTGATATTAGTTTCATAAACGAACACCATAGTTAGCTATATAAAGGAACAAGCTTTTTTTTTTTCAGAACTGTAGTCTTTGTATCAGAGCTGCTGTAGAGTAACCCACACATCACAGGGGAGAGCCTCTCTTTTGGGGCTCCACTGTTAGTTTGACAACCAAGTCCTGCTCTGTGAATGATACAACTGGTAAATTTTAAAAGACAATTCTTCATTGATTAGGACCATGTGAGATGCAGATAATTAACACTTTTATGGTGAATTTGACTGGTAGATAAAATCAAAATCAGATCTAGGACTAAAATATTTTCAGGGGCAACTCACCAGAACCTGGCATTGTCCTTGGAAATCCAAGCAGATTGGCAACTTTGTCAAGGCATTGTAAGAACAGTAGAAGGCTACTCACCCAAGGAAAGCGATGTATTTTGGCTCAGAAGCAAGGCTTGCATCAATAGTTACTGAGAGAAATCTTGGGTTTAAAGGGGATCTCCCACTAGCTTTAAGCTGTAGTTTGAGCTCCACATTATTCTCCAGAAAGTCGCTGCTGGTGTAGAATACAGTACCAGCCAGGATCACAATGCAGACAATCAAATGCATTAGTCTTTTGTCTGTGTGTAGGGCTGTACTGAGATTTAATGGAAGCTGCCAAGAGCAGATATGCAATGCAGCCAGCCGGAATAACTCTTTTCCTCTCCAGGATATGTCACCACAGAGGAAGCTGTGATTAAAGAACAGCACTCTCTTCTCTAAGCTTGAAGCTGCAAATGTTCTGACTGCTGTCAAATCTAGCGAAAGGTCAGGTTTAACTTCCTTCTTATATTTGTCACAAACAAGACCAACGGGCTGAAAAAACCCAACAGATTTTTCATAAACAAAACCTGAGAAGGAAAAAGAATAGAGAAAGCTGTGTGTGTGTGTGTGTATGTTGCACGCACACATAGAACCAGAGTAGATCACGTGTCCATGAGCAGGTGAAGGGAGGAGGCTCACACAAATGTTGCCTGCCCCACCCTGTGTAGTACAGGCTGCGGAAAACTGGGATAACCAGCTGAAACACAGGACTTTGTACTCATATCAAAGCTCACAATTGTTCTTCATTTTTAAGGACTGTTCCTCTTTTTGGAAACAAATCACTTTGTCCCTCTGTTTCCTTTTTTTAACCGTTTCAATACCGGGCAATTTTACACCTTCCTGCCCAGGCCAGTTTTCACGTTTCACGTTCTCACACTTTGAATGACAATTGCGCGGTCATACAATTACCCAAACTAAAATTTTATCATTTTCTTCACACAACTAGAGCTTTCTTTTGGTGGTATTTAATCACCACTGGGGTTTTTATTTTTTGTTAAATTAACAAAAAAAGACCAACATTTTTGAAAAAAAACACGTTTTTCTTTGTTTCTGTTATAAAAGTTTACAAATAAATAAATGTTCTTCATAAATTTAGGCCGAGATGTATTCTGCTACATGTCTTTGGTGAAAATAACCCAAATTAGGATGTATTATTTAGTCTGTAGGAAAGTTATAGAGTTCACAAACTATGGTATAGATCTGAATATTGATCACTCCTGAAGTACTGACGGCCAATCTAATTTCTTGAGGTCCAAGAATGTCAGAACAGTACAGATATCCCCCAAATTACCACTTTTTGCAGAGCAGACAGTCCGACGTACTTCATAAGAGGAATGGCGAGTTTTTTGAAGTTGTATTTTTTTTGTCATAATTTTTCAGAAAATGAAAAAAATTAAAAAAATTATTTTCACTATTTTTTTTTTCACATATTGTCACCAGTGCAGTACAGCGTCATCATATAACTGGCATGGCAGTGAACAGGGACACTGACTGGTGACAGTATGAAAAAAAAAAAATATTTTTTTTTTATTATTTTTAATTTTTTTTTACATTTTTTTAAATTTTTTTTAAGATTTTTTTTTCATATTTTACTATGACCAAAGTAGTACAATGTTA